TTTTGCTGAGGGTTTTGTCAAAGTTTATTTTTAAGGGATCAAATATTTTGATTTAAAAATTTATACTGTAGTTATTTAGGTTCATTTAAGAGAAAAGAAAGAAAGAGAATTGTTAAAAAACAATGAAGAAGAGAAAGTTATTAAGATTATGGCAACAAAAAATATTATTTTTGATGTTAACAAATTCTTTTTGATAATATAACTTCTATCAAAATGTTCTTTTACCTTTATTTTACTTGAAAAAATAGATAAGGTATTAGAAAGTATTTTAGAATCAAAATGTTTTTTGAAATCAATTTTTTCCAAATTTAAGATCACAAATGAGATTTTAAAGGCCTATAAATTATTTTTTATATGTTTATAGGAGAAATATTGGTTGAGAAATGGATTTTAAGGATTCAAAAGTTTGGACCCTGATTTTCCAACAACTATCGTAGTTTACTTTTTTTTATAAAAAAAAAAATTATTCACCCCTACACATTAAAATAAATAAAAATAAATTTAGACATGCAAGTTTAAGTTTTTAGGTTCATGCATGCCTAGGCTTAGGTTTCTTCTCAAACCTATAAGTACCTCGTCCTTTTCATTCTTTTTTTTTTTAATTTTTTTATTCAAATTTTGTTTTTATTTTATTATTTAGTTTGAATAATTTTTATTTAAAATTTTGAGTAAGACCCCCTATTTTAAGTTTTAGATTGTTAATCATTTAGTTGAATAAAAAAAAATTCAAAAAATAAAGTTATTAAACCTAGTAAGCACTATAATGTAGGTTGTAAGTTGAAAAGGTTAATTTGGTTTGACCTAAGTCTATCCAAAATGTTATTGTCATGATTTTTTTTAGTAAAGGACATCTTGGATTGATATTATTTTATTTTTTTCTTTTAAAAAACTAAAGATCTTTTTATTTGTGGTATTGTTTTCACAAAAGTCATGTTATCAACATTGCCATCACACTAGATTAACATTTGGTCATTATCATGAGAGGGAAAAGATAGATACAATGAAGATAGAGTATGCATGTTTTCTTATAATTCATGTTTTAAAAATATAGAAATTCATTTCAAAACTATCTCAGAAACAAGATTTTTTTGGTCTTTTATCTCTATTTCTTTAACTAAATATACTACTATCTTTTTTATATTTATTTATTTTATCCTAAAACAATAAGATAGTATTTGATTACTGTTTTAAAAAAGAAGAAATAGAGATAATAGGGATTGAGGAGATAAAAAAAAATAAGGAGATGGAGATTTTTGTTTGTTTGGTAACTTCTCACATTTCACTATGAATAGGAGTAATATATTTCTTTTTATTTTGGTCATTGAACTTTTTCTTATATGGGATTTGATCATTCTTGGCTAGTTGCTTTTAATTTATTAAAAAATGACAAGATTTAAAAGTAAATGATTAAAGTGAAAATACACGAGAGAATTAAGTGGTAATTTCAAAACTACTTAAAAAGCTAATTTTGGTTATATTACTTTCCAATTGATATATTTCAGTCCATTTGATTTTAAATTTTTATTTTTATTCTACAACTTCATTTTTTTATTTTCTTGTCTATAAGTTAGTTTGAGATATGAGAGAGAAAGAGTTGTCAGACTCTAGTTAGAGATAAATAATTATTATAAACACTGATTTCAGCTATGAAAAAAAATTGATCTTAATTTTAACGAATTTTATCTAATGAAAGGAGTTTTATTATGCTGTTTTTTTGCTTTCACCCTGTTTAAGGTTTTTTGAACTCAGGATGATTCGAGGTTTTGGCTGATTTTTGGGTAGTTTAAAGTTATAAATAAGTTTATTAAAGTTTCTATGGTATTTTTTAAGTTTTATTGGGTTGAAAATAATTTTTTACATATAAAATAATATCACCCTGTTTTTCAAGCAACCTTCTAACTGCTTTAACCTAGGTTAGCATGCGGTGTATTATCAATACTATATTTTTAAAAATTAAAAAGTTGATGACACATTATCCATCCTTTAACATACAAACAAAAGCCTGATATATTGATCAAACCTATTTTTAAGAGGTCATATGTGCAGACCTATTTACCTAGCCTAATTTTTTAAATTTTTTTATACATTTTACATTTTAGTCCATTTAAATAAATTGGTTAAAAAATAATTTGAATTTTTTTTAGATAGCATTGAATTTTCAAAATCTTTGGATGAGTTATTATATTTGCTAAAACTTTTTTTTATTAAATCTTTCATGAAATTGTTTTCCCAATTATTTTTTTTTGCTATCATTTTTAGATTTTGTTTAATTAAATATTGTTTATTTTTTAGAAATTTATGACATTATTTTTATAAAATTAGCAAACACTCCTTTTTTTTTTATAGCCTTTCATGATAATTTTTTGTTTCCTTAAGTTCTTTTTGGTAGCTTTTCCTTTGCATGTTTGCTTTTATTGTCATACAGTAAAATACAAAATATTCTACAAAAAAAAGTTATTAAATCCTTTAGCTCATAGGCTTAGCTGGTTAACTAGAATTAATAAAAAATATCATTGTCTTAATATATATATATAAAAAAATTAAATCAATATTTTCTTAAAAAAACAGCTATTCTTGATATCAAATCAGGTCACATTAAATAAATTCCTACCCGGTTAGATTTGAAACTAGAGTTAGATAAAGGCTGAAGTTAAAGGTCTCTCAACTCCTCAATTTATTTTGTAATTATTACTAATAACTCTTTTTTATGTTTACTAATATCTTTAGTCCTTTATTTTTTTTAAACAAACAAATACAAATTTTTTACGTGCATTAAAATTTTTTCTTGATGCTATATAAAATACGTTAACAATGACTATAACTTTTTATTAAAAAGTTTTTAATATGATACATGGCGCATCACAAATCAATGTATCATTTTATTTTTTATTATGAATTTTTTTATCTTGAATAATTCATTTAATTTGGTTTTTATTATCTTAATTGCTATTTTTTTTTGTTTGGAGTTGTTTTTCAATTGATTTTGATTTACTATTTTGCCCTTATTTGCTTTTCTTCCTATCAAAATTAACCATTCTTCTTTTGATTGTCATTTTTTTTTACCTTGAGAAGTTTTTATTTTCAATCATAAATGATTTTATTTTATGATTTCACCCTCCTTTTTTTTTTCTTATCAATTTTAATCCATATTCTTTTGATTGTCAATATATATATATATATATTTTTTTTTGCTTCGACAAGTTTTAAAAATTTATACTTTTAAATTGGCTCAACTTCTTGATTGGATCTAGATCCATGATTTCATAAGTTACGAGTTCTTAAAATTTTACTAGGTTGAGGATATTTGGCCGAGTTTGCTTGTTTTTTACAAATATTTTTTAATCCCACCCATATGATTTTTTTTATCTTTAAAATTTAGTCCTTATTCTTTTATTTAATGCTTATTTTATTTGACATCATTTCTTTATTGTTTTATTTGCATCCTCATATTTTTTAATTAAATTATATCCTTGTTATTTTTTATTGAATTGATTGAGAATTAAATTTCTTAATTGAACCCTAGTTAAAGATTTCATGGGTTGTGACTTTTAAAGATTAGACTAGATTTAAGAGGTTCATTAGGTTAACTTGAAATTTATTTTCTAAACTGATGTTTTCTTCTTTTTCTTTATTTTTTTTCTTGTTTTGTTTTATTATTTTTCTTGTTTTGATTCTATTGGGTTAGCCATTAACAATTTCTTTCTATTTCACTCATAGAATTTTTTAATCTATAAATAATTTATCAAATTATAATTTTTTTTTAATTTCACCCCATATAATTTTTTAATCTTTCAAATTTTATCCTTATTTTTTAATTGAAATTTATTTTCTTGGGAATCATTTTTTAATTTTTCTCAATTTTACCCCTTACTGTTTTTTAATCTATAAACAATATATTAGATTATAAATATTTTTCAATTTTATTTCTTATGATTTTTTTAATCTTTCAAATTTAATATTTATTTTCTTAATTGTTATTTATTTTATTTAAATTTTTTTTTTCAAATTTTATCCCCCTTAATTATTTTCCTCTTAAATTTTATCTCTTCTAGGAGGCTAGACACCATGCTCAATACACCACATCGCAACTTATCTGGGGTACATGGAGCATGGTGTCACTGCAGCTAGCTCGCGTGAGAACCTAAACACATACAGGGACAATTAGAGGAGGAAGTCTTACATCATTACGTGCACTTGATTCACAACTAACTTGTGTCAATGAACATGATTATGAACTAAAAAAAGTTGATTTTGAATTCATGAACCTCTCAATTTTTACAAACCGAACGCATGGCTAAAGCAATCAGGTCCATTTAGGCTGAAAAAATACGTGGACAAGGTCTGTATTCTGGATTGATCATGGACCTAGACCATGCCCTTGTTAAGCTTAATTTCAATTGTCACTTGCATATAACCATGTTAAATGCGAGTGACAATTCATGATTCTAGAACATTCTCATTGGGCGACCAGTGGGCCAACTCATGGAGGCAATCGACCCTTCCAATTCATTTGTCTTGCTAGCTCAGAAATTCCCTCCACAAATCCTAGCTTCCTTGATTGTTTAATCTTTCAGAGTTGCTAGGGGATGATTGATCAGGCCATTTATAAAAGTCAACTAGAATGCAATGTATAACTTTATGATACGAAGTGCTCGTTAACCCCACCCTTTCCTCATGCTTAAAGGCCTCCTATCTATCATATTAAATAGAAACTTTCTTTTCAAATTATGCCAGCAAGTGTTCTTGGGTATTACTCGTTCTACTTAGTTCAAGATTTTCTATTGCAACTCGTTCGTCCTTGTATATATAAGGTAAACCCAGACGGTCTGCGCACTCCATCATATCATCACTAGTATTATATATCTGTTATATACAGTGGGATCATTGCCTCTTCTTCTACCTTTCCTAGCTTCTGGTGATTTGCTTCAAAAGCGTTATCTATATAGTGCAAGAAAAGAAAAGTATCCAGATCCAGATTTAATGGCACGGTACAGAACTAATTATTAATTAACTTTGCAGTATTGAAAGGTGGTGAGGACAAAATCACCGTGACATGGGGGCTGAACCAGACCGTCGCAGCGGGGACTGACTCGACCTACAAGACCATCAAGGTCAAGCTATGCTACGCTCCCATAAGCCAAGTTGACCGTGGGTGGAGAAAAACTGTAGACGATCTAAAAAAGGACAGGACTTGCCAGCATAAGATCGTTGCTAGACCTTACAACCCTGCTAACAACACCGCCCAGTCCCATGAGTGGACTGTTGAGCGTGACGTGCCCACTGCCACGTACTTCATTCGAGCCTACGCTTACGACGCAGATGAAAAGGAGGTGGCCTACGGGCAAACAACAGATGCAGGCAGGACCACCAATCTGTTTCAAGTCCAAGCAATCAGTGGACGCCACGTCACAGTGGATACTTGCTCGATATGCTTTAGTGTTTTCTCTGTCGTGTCCTTGTTTGGTTTCTTCTACAATGAGAAGAGAAATGCAAAGAGGCCTCAGTGAAGTGAACGAGGCAAAAGAGAAGGTGAACTTTGCAGCGCTCCTTTTGAAGAGTTTGAGGGACATGAGTGAAGAAAATAAAGGACAGTCTTGAATTTTATATCCATGTATTAGTTAATGTACTACTTAATTTGTTGAGTTTGAGGGACATGAGTGAAGAAAAGAAAGTCATACCAAATGGATTATAGAAGCTTTTTCACCAAGAAAAACCTAAAAGAACCGAGGATAGATTATTACACTAAGAAAAGAGAGAGAGAGAGAGATAAAACTGCAAACCAAATGGATTGACGTTGGGCTTTGTCCTGTGACAGCAACATTGCAAGTGCCATGTTCTTGGAATGCATTAGACATTGACTTAAAATATGATATAAAAAAAGGGCTAAAGTATTACTTCTTTTAGCTTTTATAGAAAATTGAAGCGTTTTAGCTAAAAAAACCAAATTCCTTTATCTAGCTCAAATATGACTATCTAAACATGGATATGGTGCAATCTTAAAGATGAAGCAAATACCAATTTCATTGCGAGGGGATTACTTACTTTTGAAATCTTAAGTTCAAAATTTTCAATCAGAATTCTCATCCTTAAAATTCTTTCACACTAACATCATATAACATTATTAGATTTAACAGTTTTATTGACATAAATTTATGCTAGCATTTACACTAGTAGTTCATTAAGATGTATGTTATCGATGAAATCACGAACGTAAATAGTTTATCAGAAAAAATTAAACGCTTAAGAATTGATAATGATTTGGAATTATACTCATGTGATTTTAATAAGTTCTAAAAGAATAACAGAATCGCTAGATATTGCACTTTTAGAAATACACCATAACAAAATTATATTGCATAACATATAAACATGATACTCTTAGAAAGAGCATTGTATAATTTTACAAGTTGGATTATCAAAGAACGTTTAGGCTGAAGTAGTTAACATGACTTGTTACTTGGTGAATAGATCTTTCTCAACAATTTTAGAGTTAAAGACTCTATATAAGGTATGGTTTGGTTCTTTTTTTAATTATTATAAATTTAAAGTATTTGGATGTCCTGCTTATACTCATGTTAAGAAAGATAAATTTAGACCTAGAGTAAGGAAACACATATTCTTAAGCTATGCACATGAGGTGAATGGATATCAATTGTAGTATGTTGATCCCAAGTCACCTAAGTTTATTACAAACACATATATGACTTTTGATGAGTCTTTTATATTTCATTCGGAAAATGAGTCGATTGGTATTAATGTTGAGATTAAATAGGGTGCTAGAAACATGTTGAGATTAAGGTTAGAGCTTCTAAAATAATGCAAAAAGATGTTTCATTTGAGGAAGTGGTGTAGGATATTATTATTAAAAATACACCTAAAGAACAACATTACAATATTGCTACAAGAAGACTCAAAGACATATAAAAACACCAATTAAGTTTGGTATGCTAATTTAGTTGATTTTGCCTTGAATGTTATAGATAATTTTGACGATTAAGAGCCTTTATCTTATAAAGAGGTAATTGTTTTCAAAGAATTTCTTAGTTGATGCTTATTATCGCACGTGGGCGGTGGCATGACAATCATTCTTTCGGATCAAGGTTATCGAGATAGATTGGGGTGGAAAAGACAAGAAATTTTTTTTCCTTTATTAGTAAAAAAGAAAAAGGAAGCCGCCATATAATATTATAATAACTAGAAAACCTAATGATCTGTGAGAGTCTAAATAAGAGGACAAATTGTGCAAAGAAAAAACATATCACCCCCAGTGTCCCCTACCTATGATAAACTATTTTGTTGTTTATTCTAAGTCGTGTTTCTATTCGTTAGTCTATCTAAGGTTCGAGAAAAGTTCTCCTCAATAAGAAGATCCTTATCTTATGAAGTTAAAACCTAGATATACATATTAGTTGTATTGTTGAAATGAGAATTTTTTTTACAAATTTTTGAAAATTTCAACTAAAAATAGATATTCTAAATACCAGGTCAATACCTTAAAGTATAAGTTTGCAACCCCAATATTAAGTGAAATCTATGAAAAGAAATATATTTTTGAGTTTTTGAAATAAAATATATTTTTTTAGTTTTTTTGGAGGAAAATTAGGTATTTTTAATATCAAATATGTATCTTTATAGTATAAGTCTATGGTAGGATATTAGATAAAAATACCGGGAAAATATGTGAGGGACCCATAAATAATTCTAGAATGATTATTAAATGTTTTTAGATTTTTTTGGAATTTTTAAAGGTCTGTTTGACTAAAGACATAAACATAAGACACATTAAAGCTTAAAGGGAAGGAATTAAGGTATGTTTGGTAAACACAACCTTAGCCTAAAGGTTGGGCTTATTGGGCCCAATACCAAAGCTCAACCCAATTTGGCTGGGTTGATAAACGACCAAATATTTACTTCTTAAAAAAAAAAATGGGCTGGACTTTACCCAACTAGTATATAGGCTAGGCTTAATCCAGCACATACAATTTGGTTATTGGCCTAACCTAGTGACTAAGTTATGCGATAACTTATAGAATATGAATTATAATTCATGTTCTATATGCTTGTACAAGAGATGATAATTAAAATAAAGATGGGAGAAGAAAGCTTACTTAGCTTAAGAAGGTGCCTCTTATCGTTGTTGGCCTGTCGCAAAAATAGTAAAGTTGTTAGTAGAGCTCACCACTGCTTATGGTGCTGGTCTTTAAGGAAAAAAGTTGTAGTTTTAATTGGTGTTGTCTTTACTGACTAGAAGTTGAAGGTGCATAAGTCGTTGTTAATCTAAGAGGAACCACCTATGTTATTACTACTATTCACAATTGAAATAAAAAAGAGGAGGTTTAGCTTTAGTTGGTAATGTCACCATTGGCTTGTGGTTGGAGGAAGGTATTGTAGGTGTGTAGAGCTTGTAGAGGCTGATGAAGGAGATCTGATGGTGTTGCTCATGGTTATGAATAATTGGTGTGGAGGTTGACTGTGGAGGCACCATGTATGGGGTTATGTTGGTGGATAAGAGGGAGGGGTTGGGTATAGATGATGGTTATCTTTATTAGCAACGTGGTTGAGCTACTTTGGTTCAAAGGCATTGTTGATGTAATGGGTTGTTATTGCTAGTGGCGCTAGAGGCTAGTGTGGTTAAGAAGAAAACCCTTACTCATGGTACTAGAAGCCTAGCATGGCTAAAAAGAACAACCATTGCTATTGGTTGGAGTTTATATGACTATGGCTAGATGCTTGGTGTAAGGCTGGTCACAATAGAGAAATGAGATAGAGTGATTTTAGTTAAGATGTGGAGGAGTTGTTGATGGTGCTGGAAATGAAAGGCTGATGCTGGTCAGTGAGAGGTGCAGAACCAGTCATAGTGGAGAAAAAGTTGCTCACAACTAGGGTTGTTCTTAAAAAAAGATTGGCATTGCTGCTAGAAGAAGAAGACATCGTTGCTGGAGATTGTTATTGGCTACGAAGTAACAAATTAGGTTTAGGGTTTTTTGTGAATGAAGGAGAGAATTTGGTGTTTTTTTTTTTAATTTCTTTAAAGTTTTTATTTTAGACGTCCCTTTTTTTGTGTAAGATTACCACTTATTTATATATGGAAAATTTTGTCTTCTTCCCTAATTGCTTGGTTGTTCTTTTATCCAAATATTTTTTTTATTTTTTTATTTAAAAAAAAATCTTGAAAAAGGAAACATCAACTTGATGAGAAAAATAAACAATTAAAAAAAGTATGAAAAGCTGAACATATTGAAAAGAAATTTAAATTTTGTATTTTTTTTAGATGACATTAAAAATACTAAAAATGAGGTAAATACATTAAGAACATATTTTTTTATTTTTTTCTTTCTTTATATTTTAAAAATATTTAGAAAATAAGGGGTCAAAATTGAGTTAAAACATTAGCTATGAAAAAAATATTAAGTCTCTTTATAAAAACTAGATATCAGAGCTTATGAAACCCTATAAAGCTAGAAGATTATTAGATGCAAGTTAGTTTACAAGAAAAAATATGGAATCACAGGGTGATTAGTACTTAAAAGTGCATTTTTATCATGGTTTTATATCATCATTTTGCACTTGAAGTATCAATAACTCCTTAACTAAAGCATGTTTTATAATAATATATCTAATAATATAAGATACCTTTAATTTGTGGTAAATGTTCATTTTAAATGCAGGCCTATCACATAAATGAAAGGATTGATTGATGACTTTAAGAACTTAAATTGCAAAGGCAAAGAGATGGTCAAACTTAGAAAAAAGATGTCGGTGCAATCCAAACCGGAACACTGTTCGGTAAATGGGTCATATCTGGAGCTATATATCTCAGATTTAGGTCCAATTTATATGGATGGAAAGGTAAGACATAGGCCTACAACTTTCATATGGAGCCCAAGATCTAAAAAGGCTATTATCAAGTCCAAATTGTAGCAACAACAAAGAAGCCCGAATCTGTCTTCCAGCCCGAGCACTGTTCGGTATTTTGGCCATATCTGGAGTTCTAGAAGTCCAAATGAGCTGAATTGTTTACACAAGAAAGCTGAGACAATTGCCTACAACTTTCATGTTTGCAACTGGCTCCAGTTTTGACGTTATCAATGACGGTTTGGGCAGACAAGAGAAGATAAGGATTGTCACCAAGTCAAAAGTTGGCCACCCACTTATCAATTAGTCATCAAATCAATAGTTCCCAATTTTGGCCTATAAAAGGAGGCATTTACCATGCATTTAGGCATCTTGGTTTCCAGATCAAGATCATGCTCTTCCTTTCTCTCTTTGTATTTTTTATGCTTTGTTTTTATTAATATTAAGTTTATGCCTTTCATTTCCTTTCCTTTACTTAGTTAACTTTTATGTTGTTATTTTGTTTATTTATTTTTCTTTCTTTTATTATGTCTAGCTAAGTTAATTATGTCAAGGTGAAAAGGTTACACTAATGGTGTGAGAATAAGTATAATGTAAACTTAATATGGACTTTAATGTTTGATACTAACATGTTTTATATTTGTTATCTTGTTCACTCTTTAATACTTTGCTTGTTAAATGACTAAT